ATCATCATCCTCCTCCTCAGCCTCCTCCGAATCCTCATCATCATCATCAGCAGCATCAGCATCAGCATCATCAGCATCAGCACCATCATCAGTATCATCATCATCATCATCATCATCATCATCAGCATCATCATCAGCATCATCAGCATCATCATCAGCATCATCATCATCACCATCATCATCAACATCATCATCATCATCATACTCATACTCCTCCTCCCGCCTCCCTCCCCCTTCCTCATTCATCCATCCTCCCGCCTCCCTCCTCCCTCCTCCCGCTGCCTCCTCCTCAGCATCCCCCTCCGCCTCCTCCTCCTCCTCCGCCTCCTCCTCCTCCTCCTCATCCTCCTCCTCCTCATCCTCGTCCTCGTCCTCGGCCTCCTCCTTCCCAGCCTCCTCCGCATCCTCCTGCTCCTCATCCTCCTCATCTTCCTCCTCCTCCTCCTCTTCCTCTTCCATCCTCCTCCTCCTCCTCCTAACGCCTCTCTTCTCTTGCGCATCATCCTACTCTCCTCCTATTCCCCCCTCCTACCCTCCCTCCTCCTCCTTCTCTCTACCTCCTCCTCCGCCTACTCTCTCCTCCTCCGCCTCCTCCTCCTTCCGCCTCTCCTCTGCTCCTCCTCCTCATCCTCAGCCTCACCCTCCCTCCTCATCCGCCTCATCCTCCTTCATCATCGTCATCACCATCCTCCTCCTCCGCCTCCTCCTCACCATTCCGCCCCTCTCCCCTCCCCATTACCCTTCCCCCTTTCCTCCTCCTCCTGCTCTTCTCTACTCAGCCTTCCTTCCTCCTCCTCAGCATCATCATAATCTTCATCATCTCTTCATCTTTCATCATCATCAGCATCAGCATCAGCACAGCAGCATCATCATCATCATCATAATCATCATCATCATCATCATCATTCATCTTCAGCATCCTCATCTACATCCTCATCCTCATCCTCATCAATCTCCTCCTCAGCCTCCTCCGCATCCTCCTGCTCCCCCTTCTCCTCTTCGTCCTCCTCATCCTCCTCCTCCTCCTCCTCATCATCCTCCTCCTCCTCCTCCGCCGCCTCCGCCACCTCCGCCTCCGCCTCCGCCTCCGCCGCCTCAGCCGCCTCCGCCGCATCGGCCGCCTCCGCCGCCTCCGCCTCCGCCACCGCATCCGCCGCCGCCGCCGCCACCGCCTCCGCCTCCGCCTCCGCCTTCGCCTCCGCCTCCGCATCCGAATCCGCCTCCTCATCCTCCTCCTCATCCTCCTCCTCGTCCTCCTCCCTCCTCTAATACTCATCGCCTCTCTCATACCTTGAAGCTGCAGGACCAGCACACCCACGCCAAAACAGCCTAAGAATAGTACGCATCCTCATATACTCCTACTCCTCATAATCTACCTCCTCATCTTCATCGCACTCCTAACCCCTCCTCCCTCCTCCCTTAGTCTCTCCTCCTCCTACACTACGCCACCGCCTCTTATCTCGCTTCCTCGCTCATACTCCTCCCCTCATCCTCTTCATCCTCCTCCTCTCCTCCTCCGCCGCACCCTCCCCCTCCTCATCCGCTGCTCCTCCTCGTCCTCCTCCTCATTTCTCATCTCCTCCTCCTCCCGCCTCCTCCTCCTCCTCATCCTTTCCCATCCCCTCCCCTCCCCCTCTCCCCCTCTCCTCCTCCACTATACTCTCCTACCTCCTCCTCTCATCATCATCCTCCTCCGCCTCCTCCTCTCATCCTCCTACTCCTCCTCTCTCCTCCTCCTCTTCTCTCCTCCTCCTCCTCCTCCTCCTCATCCTCCTCCTCCCCTCCCCTTCCTCCTCCTCCTCATCCCTCCTCCTCCTCCTCCTCCTCCTCCCCCGCCGCCTCCTCCTCCCGTATCCTCATCTGGCTCTTCCTTCACCTCCATCTCCTCCTACTATCCTCTTCTCTCATCATCATCATCATCCTCATCTTCATCTTCATCATCATCATCTCAGCATCGCATCAGCATCATCATCATCATCATCATCATCATAATCATCATAATCATATCTTCATCTCATCATCATTCTTCATCATCATCATCATCAGCATCATCTCATCTGCATCATCATCATTCATCTATCATCTTCATCATCTTCTCAGCAGCATCACATCATCATCATCGTCGTCATCATCATCATCAGCATCATAATCATCATCATCATCATCTGACATCATCATCCTCAGCTTCTTCATCATCATCATCAACACCACCACCACCACCATCATCATCATCATCATCATCGTCGTCGTCATCATCATCATCATCATCATCATCATCATCATCATCATCATCATCATCGTCATCGTCATCATCATCATCATCATCAGCATCATCATCATCAGCATCATCATCATCATCATCCTCCTCAGCCTCCTCCGCATCCGCATCATCATCCTCATCCTCATCATCATCATCCGCATCATCATCATCATCATCATCATCAGCATCATCATCATCAGCATTATCATCATCATCATCATCAGCAGCATCATCATCATCATCATCATCATCATCATCATCATCATCATCATCATCATCATCATCATCATCATCATCCTCATCCTCCGTATCATCAGCAGCAGCAGCGTCGTCGTCATCAGCAGCATCAGCAGCAGCATCAGCATCAGCATCAGCATCAGCGTCAGCATCATCATCATCGTCGTCATCATCAGCATCAGCAGCATCATCATCATCATCATCATCATCATAATCAGAATCAGCATCATCATCAGCAGGACCATCATCATCGTCATCATCATTAGCATCATCATCATCAGCAGCACCATCATCGTCATCATCATCAGCATTATTATTATCATCATCATCATCATCATCATCATCAGCGTCAGCATCATCATCATCATCATCATCATCATCATCATCAACAGCATCAACATCCGCATCATTATCAGCATCATCATCATCAGCATCATCATCAGCATCAGCAGCAGCATCATCAGCGTCATCAACATCAACAACATCAGCATCATCAGCATCATCATCATGATAAGCAGCAACATCAGCATCATCATCATCAGCAGCATCATCATCATCATCGTCATCATCGTCGTCATCAGCATCATCATCTCATCGTCATAATCATCCTCGTCAGCATCAGCATCATCATCATCAACAGCATCATCCTCATCCCCATCATCATGAGTTGCATCAACATCATCATCATCATCAGCAGCATCATCATCATCACCAACATCATCAGAATCATCATCATTAGCAGCATCATCATCAGCATCAGAATCATCAGCATCATCAGCATCATCAGCAGCATCATCATCAGCATCAGCATCAGCATCATCATCACCATCATCATCATCATCATGGTCATCATCAACTCATCATCAGCATCATCATCATCAGCAGCATCATAATCATAATCAGCATCATCATCAGCATCATCACCATCGTCATCATCATCATCATCATCATCATCAGCACCATCATGATCAGAATCATCATCCGCATCATCATCATCAGCAGCATCAGCATCAACATCGCCGTCATCACCATCATCCTCATCAGCATCAGCATCATCGTCAGCATCATCATCATCATCATCATCATCATCAACATCAGCAGCAGCTACCATCATCAGATTCACCATCATCATCATCAGCATCATCATCAGCAGCAGCATCAGCATCATCGTCAGCGGCATCACCATAATCAGAATCAGCATCATCATCATCCCATCGTCAGCATCATCAGCATCATCATCATCGGCATCATCATCATCTTCAGCTTCATCATCATCAGCAGCAGCAGCATAGCATCATCATCAGGGTCAGCATAATCATCAGCATCGGCATTCGCATCATCATCAGCATCATCATCAGCATAATCATCATCATACTCCTCCTCGTCATCATCATCAGCATCATCATCGTCATCATCATCATCATCTTCACTCAGTCACGCACTCATTCACTGACTCACGCACTCGTCTCAGGCGGGAGCATCGTCTGTGAGTGAACTGAGAGGACGTCTCAGACGAGAGCCCCATCCCTATGGGGCCCGCAGCTCATGTTTGCAATGCGAGCGGGTCATCGGAAACCTGTAACTGTCGCCACGCTTGGGCTCCAGGGGTTTGAATGTGGAGGAAGTGTCAGGCAGGAGCCTCGTCTATAAGTGAATTGCGAGGAAGTCTCAGGCCGGAGCCTCCGCCCGATAGGGCCAGCAGCGGGCGGCCCGCGGACCAGGCGGTGGCGGGTGCGTTCCTCCCGTTGCAACGGGCACGGCGCGCTACTCCATGCCAAGGCCACCTGGGCGCCCGTGCCCGCCTGCGCCGCATGATATGAAATCATGAAGGGCTTCAGGGCATGATGAGAGCAGCAAAAAACTACGTAAACATAAGCTTTCGGAGCTCCACGCAGATTACTTGGATCGGCGCTGGGCGCAGGGGGCGCCGCCAGGGGGGTCGAGCGCCGAATTAAGAAATCCGCGCGGACCTCCAAAAAAAATATGTTTATGCCGTCTCCTTGCACGTAAAATGGTAAGACATGATACAGGATCTCAGGGCATGATAGGACGAGCGAGGCAGGCAAAGAGGAACGACGATGCCGTCTCCCCGCTGGGCGCTGGGCGGCCACGGGCCATCAAGGCGGCGCGGCGCGTCCCCCACGGACGCCAGGCGCCCAGGAGCGGACCGAGAGAGGGGCCCCCGAGGCGGCGCGGCGTGGCTGAGGCTCACAGGTCGTCCTGCTGCTGGGCCTGCCTGGCGGACGCGTACGCCTCCCGGGCGGCCATGGTCTCTATGTCGCCCTCCGACATCGCGAGCATGTCCTCCTGCTTGGCAAGGCTTCGGGCGGCGCACAGAGAGGCCCCCCAGGCAACTTCAGCTGGCCTCAGCAGCCCCCCCCCCCCGGCGAGTAGTCCAGGGCGGCTGAACGCCCCAGGAGCGCCGCCAGAGGCGGCGCCAGGTGTTGAGGCCGCCCTGAACTACTCGGGGGACATGTTGAGGCCAGCCGGGACTACCTGGGGGGGGGGGGCTGCCTGTGCGCAACCCGAAGCCTTAGCACTCCTTCTTGTACGATGTCATGCTAATGCCAGGACTCTCCATCTGCATCTTCGCGATGAGGTCCTCGGTCTCGAGGTCCTGTATGTTCCTCGGGACGAAGGCCTCGTCAACCCACTCCCCGAGCTTCGGTAGCCTCTTGCCGTCGCAGGACTTCTTGCACACGATCTCGCGCATTTCCTGGGAGGAGCAAAGAAAGTACTGGCCCTGCCACTTCCTGGACCTCTCCCGAGGTGCGTCCTGACCAGAACTTCAGGGAGAATCTAGCCGTGGCGACGAAGGCCTCCCAGAGACCCCCAAAAAAGCCAAAACGACGAATGGGTAGCGGCATCGGCACTCCAGATTGTTCAATGAGCATCCTCCCCATCCCGCTCCTCCCGACGATCCGTTCCAGACCCCCCACGCGCACCAGACCAAACCCCCTCACGCGGTCCAACACTCCCACGCCCCACGCAGGACAGGCCCATTCTATCCCCCCCCCGGCGATACACCGCGACACGCTGATTGATCAGCTCGGCATATCTTTTCCTCATCCAATCTCCGACGCCGGCTTCGACTGCGCCAGCATGGCGACCAGAGCTTCCTCCTTCCCCTTCAGGGCCCTGACGCAGGCCCTGTGCAGCGCCCTGCTCGGATGGCGCCAGCTGCAATCGTACACCGATCCTGGCCAGGCCCACCCTGGGCCCAGGCTCAGCGCGTGCTCCCCCCTAGCCTGGCGAAGAAGGCAACTGCGCCGATCCTGGGCCAAAAATCGACCTGGCCGCGATCCGTGTAGGTGTACAGGTGAATACCCCGACATCCGATGCCTCGATTGCTTCAATACGGTGTCCCCGAAAGTTCCGACCCTTCCATGGGGCAAATTTTTCATCCAGAGCTGTTCTTAACGGTCCTCAGGCCTGGCGAGGGCCCCCCAGAGGCCGAAAACAGCCAAAAACATCTCGTCGTGTGGTTCGCCACTTGCGCTTCGCTGGAGGGTTCTGGTTCTAGTAATCGCTCTTCTGCTTCATCTTCCAAACGCCTTGTTCAGGACTCGTGCTCTCGCCACAACGCTTGCTACATTCTGGGCGGCCACGACCCCGTATAGAGGAACGCACCAAAGTGCACATGCTGCTGTTAGGGTGCTTTGCTGAGGAAATGCTCACGACGCGAGCATGTCTGGGTGTGCGGTTGGCGCCCTCCGACCTGCACTCCCCACGGCACTCGCCCACCTGCGGCTGCGGCACCACCCGCGGCGGCACCTGCTGCGCGGCGCGCGCGGCGCCCCCCGCCGCGCGGAGAAACGAGGGCGGGGCGAGGCCCAGCAGCTCCAGCCACCTTAGGAGATAACTCCTGGGAAGTCTCCGCAAGAACGATGCATACTCGGGCCCCAAAACCGTGTGATGACGGACCTAATGGAGACCTCGGAATCTCCGACGACATCACCGCGCGGTTCGTCACCACACTTTTTTGGGAGCCTGGAGGCACCAGTCGCCCGAGACGTCCACGGAAAAAAAACGGGTCCCAGAACCGTGCGGTGACCCCGAATCCCCGCTGACTCACGACGCGGTGAGTTCACCACACCGTTTGGGAGGGGGCGAATGTAGAGGAACCACAAAAAATGCAGAAACATAAACATTCGCAGGTCCGCGCCGACTTCTTGGATCGGCGCTGGACTCCCAAAGCGCGCGGAGCGCGCCAGGGGCGGCGCCAGAGGCGCCGCCAGGGGGCCCCAGCGCAGACCCAAGAAAATCTGCGGGGAGCTCGGATTTGTTGTGTTTATGCCGATTTGTTGATCCTCTGCAACAAAACTAAACCTGGACCACGATCGGGAAGATGCATCGGGCGCCGCGACCGTTCAAGAGTGCCCCCGAACGCTCTGAAAGTGTGGAACGACTTATTCCAGTTCTAGCCCGCCCGCATCAAGCCGGCTTGAGCCCAGCATCAAGTCCGGAGGCGGATTGGACAAACTCCCACCAGCCCTGTGGGCGGGAGTGGATTAAAGCGTTTCCTCTTCCAACCCGCCGTCTTCCCATTCGGGACAGGGTGTATCACTGTTCCCCACAACCCTCGTCAAACATAACCTCAAACATGTCTTACGTGGCCGAACTGTTGATGGGGAGATATTGGATAGAGTAGCGATGACTGCGAGGTACTTGTATGCGCCGCCTCTCCAATGTCCGCGATCACTTCGTATTGCTTTATGACGGGGACGTCAGTGGTGCCCGCATGATGATGCTTGCTGTGCGAAGGCCCAGGATAATGCTGACGCCCCCCACATCAGCATCTGGACCATGCGGACGGGGGGCATCATTTTGTTTTACAAAAATGGAACACCAACCGCATGTGGAGCCCGCGGCGAGCGTCGCGCACCTGGCGTCCGCTTTGGTTCCCAGCGGCTGTCCATCCAGTGGCGATCCCTGGCTATGCCGAGACTCGGATGCCACTTATGTGGTGGGAGGGCCGGTGGAAGTGAGCTAGACGGCTTGCGTGCGGAGAGGGTGTCTTGACCCCTCCCCCATACCCCTCCCCTGCTCCCCTGGAACTGGACGGACGGGTTCGCGAGGTGTCAGAGGGTTCATTTTCGCCCAAGATGGCCCCAATAGGGCCCCAGAGAGCCCAAGGTAGCCTCCAAGATCGCTTACTATATCCCAACATGGTTTAAGGTAGCTAGCAACATGCCTCCAAGAGGCCCCAAGAGGGCCACAAGGCGGTTCCAAGTGCTTCAGGCGATCCCTCAGGACCTTCCCGACAAGCCAAAATCGCTCAAACACTTTTTCAAACAAAAAATAAGTGATGTTTGCCGTCTCGCCTTTTCGCTCCCGATGCGCTTTGGAGATCTCACGACGGCCATAAAATGGCCTAAAAGAGCTGCAAGAAGGGCCCAAGAAACCCCCAAGACCGCCCGGACAGTGCCCATGATCGCCCCAAGAGGGCCCCAGGAGCGCCCCAAAAGGCTGTTTTGATGGCCCCTGAGGGGAGAGGCAAATCCAGGACCCCCCCTCCTTCGATCGATGGTCTCCAAGATGACCCAAGAAGCGCTCCATAGTCCCAAGAGGGCCCCGAGAGGGCTTCAAACGAGCCCCAGAGGGGGGCCCCCCGAAGGCCCCACAGCGCCCCAAAAGAGCCCCAAGAAGACCCCAAGACCCCCAAACAAGAGGGCCCAAGATGCCCCAATAAAGCTCTGGGCCCTGGGGGGTGCCCGAAAAGGCCTTCCATGGCACGGTATGTTTCACTATGTGTGCCTCTTCGTCCGTTTTCCCGTCGGCTCTCATGGGCACGGTTCCTGAATGGGTTGGCGGGGGTTCTTTTTGGTCAACAAGCTCGCAAGGCGGGTCGATAGCCGTCCAAACACTAGTCGGGCCGCGACTGGGCAGCACGACGAAAAAGGGCAAGAGAGGCGAGCGACCGGGCAACTACTCAGGAGAAGAGGCGGAACCGATACTCCCAAACCCTGCGGCGCGGAAACCACGGTGGCGACCAGCAAGTAAGCGCAGCCAAAATGGCGCGGCGACGCGACCACAAACACGCAGAGGTCGAACGCTCGGTATGAGTCAGGCAGACGCCGTCGAAGACGAACTGTACCGACAGGCGCACCCAGACGACATCCGTGGAGTAGGCGACACAAATGCCGAAACATCGTGTCGGCGCCGGAGTGAAGAGGGGCAACCTCATCACCGAAAAGACTGCAAACGACAGCAAAACCTGCAACACTTGTCGAAAGCAAAGTCCATGCAGGAGAACGTCAGCCAACGAGCGTACAGAGCCACACTTGCCGAACCCGAGGTCCAGGTACCGTAGGGTAGGCAATGTAGCAGGAGACCCACTGGAACCTCCCGGGCTGGGGGCCGACACCAGCCAGGAGCAGGCCAGGGGGCACCTGACCTCAGCGACTGCAACGCAGCACCATTCCCTGCGTGAGTCCTTGCACGAATTCCAGACCAGGGGGCACCTGACCTCAGAGAATGCGACGCAGCACCATTCCCTGTGTGAACCCTCGCACGAATTCAGGAAAAGACTGCACACGGCAGCAAAACCTGCAACACTTGTCGAAAGCGAAGTCCATGCAGGAGAACGACGGCCAACGAGCGTACAGAGCCACACCTGCCGAACCCGAGGCCCAGGTACCGTAAGGTAGGCACTGTAGCGAGAGACCCACTGGAACCTTCGGTGTCAGTAGGAGCAGGCCAGGGGGCACCTGACCTCAGCGAATGCGACGCAGCACCATTCCCTGTGTGAACCCTTTCATGAATTCCAGACCACCTGAACGCCACCAGGAAGCAGCAGTGGGCAGCAAACCCGAGCCGCCAGGGAAGAATCCTGTGAAACAAAAGGAAAGCACCCGGGTGCAGGAGGGCAGGAGGGGAAGTGCACGCCAGGCACGGTAGGCGCCCCGGCGTGGCAGCTAACCGCTGCAGAACTAGGATGCAAGAGGGGAGGGAAGGAAGTGCACGCCAGGCACAATAAGGAAGCAGGAGGAGAGGAGGGGAAGTGCACGCCAGGCACGGTAGGCACCCCGGTGTGGCAGCAAACCGCTGCAGCATTAGGACGCAGGAGGGGAGGGAAGGAAGTGCACGCCAGGCACGGGCAGGAGGAGAGGAAGGGAAGTGCACGCCAGGCACGGTAGGCACCCCGGCGCGGCAGCAAACCGCTGCAGCATCAGGATGCAGGAGGGGAGGGAGGGAAGTGCACGCCAGGCACACGGTGTGAGAGGAGGGGGAAGAGCTCACCATAACCCTATGTACACTGACGCGCACGCCAGGCGCTCTGATTCTGGCAGGGTGCTGACGGCTCGCAGATGCCGTCGACACGGGGGCGGGGGCAGACGGCCGCGCCTCCGACGTCAAGGGCCCGACCGCGCCCGAGAACACTCCCACCCTACAGCGAACGGCCAGTGCCGGCGCCCGCGAAATCCCAACCATCTCGCAGGGGTGCCTGGCGCCCCCTGCACGCGCCGACGTGGTGTCTCGTCGAAAGCGCAGTCCATGTAGGAGAACGCCGGCCAACGAGCGCACAGAGCCACACTTGCCGAACCCGAGGTCCAGGCACCGCAAAGTAGGCAGTGTAGCGAAAGACCCACTGGAACCTTCTGGTCATCAGTAGGGGCCGACACCAGCCAGGAGCAGGCCAGGGGGCACCTGACCACAGCAAATGCGATGCAGCACCACTCCCTGCGTGAACCCTTGCACGAATTCCAGACCACCTGAACGCCACCAGGAAGCAGCAGTGGGCAGCAAACCCCAGCCGCCAGGGAAGAACCCTGTGAAACAGGAGGGAGAGCACCCCGGTGCAACAGCTGGCCGCGGCGGCGTAAAGATGCAGGAGGAAAGGAAGGGAAGTACACGCCAGGCACGGTAGGCACCCCGGTGAAGCAGCTAACCGCTGCAGCACTAGGACGCAGGAGGGGAGGGAAGGAAGTGCACGCCAGGCGCACGGCGCGGGTGCAACAGCTAACCGCTGCGGCAAAAGGATGCAGGAGGAGAGGAGGGGAAGTGCACGCCAGGCACGGTAGGCACACGGGTGTGGCAGCTAACCGCTGCAGCATTAGGATGCAGGAGGGGAAGGAAAAAAGCGCACGCCATGCACGCGGTGTGAGAGGAGGGGGGAAGAAACGTGCACTCGAGCAGTTGATGTTGACAAGGGCAACCACGGTGGGCTGCCAACCCACATACCCGGTGCGACGTCAAAACCGCATCGCTGCGAAACGGGGGGGGGGGGGGGGCCACACTCGGCGCTACTGACGATACCGTTTCACAATCCATGGGCTCTGGGTTGCTCGGCACCTCTTCCCAGCCGTGTCCAGAGCACTCCCACCCCACTTCGCGCGGCCAGTGTCGGCGCCCACGAGATCCCGACCATCTTGCGGGGGTGCCTGGCGCCCCCTGTTCGCGCCGACGCGATGTCCCAGGTGGTGTCCACGCGCCTGCGCCCAATCGATACCCAGGCCCAATGAGTCGCTCATTGCCCGAACATCGCAGCTGCGGCTGTGAAATGAGGTTAGGAAGGCGACGCAGGTTCGCTGGCCGTGCCAACGCGGGTCGAAAGCGCGCGCGGTGCCAGGGGCAGCGCGTTGCACGGCAAAGGCGCGCCAGACGGCTGTGAACGACGCACCCAGGGTGACCTGAATGTACCGCATCGTCTCGTATGGTGACACCCCGTGGGGGTGCCACTGGGAGTCGTGGACCCAGGCTCTTTAGACCGGCCTCCCAGTGTGGGAGTCCCGTGGTCCTGGCTGCTGGCAATCGGCGAACTGCCTGGGCATCCACCCACTTCCCGTCCGACGCGTCAAGGATGCCCCCCGGTTGGGCTGCCGGCCCGTCTCGGCGGTCGAGCTCACG